ATCAAAGTGTATCAACGCCGACCCGAGGCGCCTAGCAACTGGACAAGACCCTTCGATCGACCTAACGACGTGATCGCATTCGAGGAAAGCGAGACGAACAGGCTCGATATGCCTCATAACGATCCACTCGTCATCACATTAGCGATAGGAGACCATGACATTTACCGAGTATTGATCGACACCGGCAGTACCATCGACGTGATCTTCCGCGAGACGCTCCGACAGATGAACATCGATATGTCACAGGTAACTCCGACCCCAAGGCCTGTCCTTGGATTTTCAGGGGAAACTTTGATGACGCTTGGAACCATCCAATTACCAGTCCGAGCCGGCAGGGTGACAAAGATAGTCAACTTCTCGGTCACCGATCAACCTACCATCTACAACGTCATAATGGGAACGCCGTGGCTAAATCTAATGCGAGCTGTCGCATCAACGTATCATCTCTGTGTCAAATTCCCGACCCCCAATGGCGTGAAAGCGATCTGGGGAAGTCAGAAAAATTCACGGATGTGCTTCATGGTAGCACACAAACTCCGAAACCCGGTCACTGAAGCGAAGGCTGAAGCTGACCACAAAAAATCGAAACTTGGCCGGAACGAAGAGAAGGCTATATCTAAACAGTTATAGCAATTACAGATCGAGGAGGCACGCGAGGAGAAGAAGCCTACCTCGGATCCTGTAATCTCCATCAGCCTCGAAGAGGAACGGCCTGAGCGATGCGTGGAAATCGGCAGCGACATAACCGAGGAAATTAAGACCGAGCTCATCTCATTTCTCAAGGAGAACATCAATACATTCGCCTGGTCGGCTGAAGATCTACCTGGAGTAAGCATCGACGTAATCTGCCACGAGCTGAATGTTGACCCATCTTTCAAGCCCATCAAGCAGAAGCGAAGAAAATTAGGTCGGGATCGCGCAGACGCCGTGAATGCCGAAGTAGAAAAGCTCCTAAAGATCGACTCGATCTCCGAAGCAAGATATCCAGACTGGTTAGCGAATCCTTTCATGGTAAAAAAGAAGAACGGTAAGTGGAGAGTCTGCGTCGACTTCACCGACCTGAACAAAGCCTGCCCTAAAGACAGCTTTCCGCTCCCACATATCGATCGCTTAGTGGAAGCAACTACGGGAAATAGGTTGCTATCGTTCATGGACGCTTTCGCAAGATACAATCAGATTCTCATGCACCCCGACGATAGCGAGAAGACAGCATTTATCACAGACCGAGGTATCTACTGCTACAAAGTCATGCCCTTCGGACTCAAGAACGCTGGCGCAACGTATCAATAGCTCGTCAACAGGATGTTCTCCGAGCAGCTCGGGAAAACGATGGAAGTTTATATCGACGACATGCTGGTCAAATCCCTCGAAGAAAACGACCACATAGCTCATCTACGCGACTTTTTTCGCCAGCTTAATAAACACAACATGAAGCTCAACCCGGCAAAATGTCGTTTCGCGGTAAAATCAGGGGAATTCCTTGGATATCTCGTAACACACCGAGGCATCGAGGCGAATCCAAAGCAAATCGATGCTTTACTAAACATGCCCTCGCCGCAGAACAAGCGAGAAGTTCAACGCCTCACCGGGAGAGTTGCAGCCCTGAACCGATTCATCTCTCGTTCAACCGATAAATGCCTGCCTTTCTATGATACTCTGCGTGGAAACAAGAAGTTCGAATGGACCGATCGCTGCGAAGAAGCTTTCCAGGAACTAAAGAAGTATCTGGCTAATCCACCGGTGTTAGCAAAACCAGTCCCAGACGAATCGTTGTTCCTGTACATCGCCGTCTCAGATACAACAATAAGCGGAGTCATCGTTAGAGAAGACAGAGGAGAGCATAAGCCAATATTCTATGTCTCACAAACTTTCACCGACGCAGAAACACGCTATCCGCAAACTGAAAACCTCGCCCTCGCCGTAGTAATGTCAGCTCGGAAGCTACGGCCGTATTTCCAATCTCACTCAATTGTCGTCATGGCGCCTGTATCACTCCGAACTATCTTGCATAGTCCGAGCCAGTCGGGACGCCTGGCTAAATGGGCAGTAGAACTCAGTGAGTACGACATCGAATACAGGAACAAAACGTGCGCAAAGTCTCAGGTCCTTGCCGACTTTATCATCGAGATGCCAATAGAAAACGCCCGAGAAGAGTCGCCCGACGCTGTTTGGATCCTCCATGTCGACGGGTCATCCTCAAAACAAGGTTCTGGCGTCGGAATCCGCTTAGCATCACCAGAGGGTGAGATCCTCGAACAATCTTTTCGGCTAAATTTCGACGCGACTAACAACGTGGCAGGGTATGAAGCACTGATAGCAGGACTTAAGCTGGCTCGGGGACTTAAGATCAACAAGTTGCGAGCCTTTTGCGACTCCCAGCTCGTGGCCAATCAATTCAATGGGGAATACGCGGCTCGTGACGAACAAATGGAAGCATATCTTGCTCTCACGCAAGACTTGGCGAAACAGTTCAGAGAGTTCGAATTAACCAGAATCTCGCGGGGCGAGAACACATCGGCCGACGCCTTAGCAGCTCTCGCTTCAACTTCCGATCCAAATCTGAAGAGAATCATACCGGTTGAGTTCATCCAAACGCCGAGTATTGAAGACAATAGTAAGGATCAGGTACTAACAGCTCGGGAGACAGAAGATTCGGAAGAAGGTGATACCAAACTGCTAGATCAGCAAGCTACAGATTCAACCGAGCCTGAATACGGATGCGATGCCAAATGGATCGGAGCCATCCGAAGTTACATAGCCGACGGTGAAGTGCCCACTGAAAAATGGGCAGCTCGGAAGCTTAAGGCAAAAGCGGCTCGATATACTCTGATCGACGGAGAACTCTTTAAATGGCGTTTCTCCGGACCTCTGCTATTCTGCGTCGAAGAAAACGAAGCTCGGAGAGTCATGAAGGAAATAAACGGCAGATCTTGTGGGAACCACTCTGGCGGAAGAGCCCTAGCCATAAAGATCAAACGCCACGGATATTTTTGGCCGACGATGGTCAAAGACTGCGAGAAGTTTTCTCAACGGTGCGACAAATGCCAGAGGCACGCACCAACCATTCATCAACCCGCCTAGCTCCTCTCTTCCATCACCTCGCCTTACCCCTTCATGGGCTGGTCCATGGACATTATCAGACCTCTACACAACTCCAAGCAGAAGAAACTCGTCCTTGTACTAACAGACTACTTCTGCAAATGGATCGAGGCGGACTCCTATGCCAGCATCAAAGACGCACAGGTCGAGAACTTCGTCTGGAAGAACATCATATGCCGCCACGGGATACCTTACGAGATCGTTACAGACAACGGATCGCAGTTCATTTTGGCTCGATTCGAAGGATTCTGTGAGAAATGGGGAATTCGCCTCAGCAAGTCTACGCCTCGGTATCCTCAGGGAAATGGACAGGCGGAAGCGGAAAACAAGACGATTCTCGACGGAATAAAGAAGCGTCTTGACGCAAAGAAAGGCCGCTGGGCCGACGAATTGGAAGGAGTACTATGGTCGCACAGAACAACGCCGCGGCGGGCCACGGGAGAAACACCTTTCGCCCTCGTCTACGGTATGGAGTGTGTGATTCCCACCGAAGCCGAGATCCCGGGAATAAGAAGACGTTTGCTCCCCGAGCAGGAAAATTCCAACACTCAGATGATGCTGGACGAACTAGACTTAATTGACGAAAGAAGAGATTCGGCTTTGATCCGTATGTAGAACTATCAGAATGCTGCAGCTCGGTACTACAATTCTCACGTTAAGCATCGCCACTTCCACGAAGGAGATCTCGTACTGCGCACAGTTTTCCAAAATACTGCCAAACAGAACGCAGGTAAGCTCGGCGCAAATTGGGAAGGACCTTACACGATCGCAAAGGTGATCCGTCCCGGCGTCTACGAACTCATCAACATGAACGGAAAAGCGGTACCTAGATCCTGGAATACTATGCATCTAAGGAAATATTATCGCTAAGAACCTAAGGTACGCGTGTACTTGAACTACGGGGTGGCTTGATCCCTGAAAAGGGTACGTAGGCAGCTCGTCCTCGGACGAGTTCAGCTACCCCCCTAATTAAAAAAGGGGGGGAGTGGGTCCGTATACATGTACTCCCACTGAACTTTTTAACAGAATTCTCTCTTAAGTTTTACCCTTCGGGTTTTACATTTTATCCACCTCGACATCTATCCTGAAATTCATCTCGGGAACCTTTACGGTCTTCTTATCGACCCACAAAACTAACAGTTCGTTCGGACGATGGCCACGTCCACGAACAGAGAGCTCATTTCACCGCTTCGGTTACAGCGCGCTATATACGCATTCAAGACAATTCGGTCAGAGATATCTTGCCATAAAGAAATTGTCTTCAGAAAACCTAGTTGACTTCGACACTGGTACCCCAGTTCGCTTCTAAGCACTGACAATCGACCATATCAGCTCGGGTCGCAACCGATAAAGATTAGTCCCACTTGCAAAAACCCAGTTACCTTAACACTGGTACGCTATTCATCGTCACGGTTCAGAAGTTAAAATAATACTGAAAGTTAACTTCTACTGAACCGAAAGTCATTTTTACCAAAACCCAATTACATTGACATTGGTGCATAATTCGTTTTCTCAGCTCGGAAGTTAAAACGGCTCGGAAAAGATTAACTTCTCGATGAACAAGTCATATTTATTAAACCCAGTTACTTAGCACTGGTATCGAATTTAGTTCGGAAATATTTCAAGATAAACAAGACCATTCAAGTACTTAAAAAGAAAGAACATATGTTCAGTGGATAAAGCCGTCCAGGCATGTCTTACAAAAAGGCAAAAGAGGATAAAAAGACATCTCGGGATCAGATCGAATCTTGGTTAACCGGCGAGACTCGAGCTGCCTCGGTATCTCGGTTCGAACCCGTCTGGTCAGTAACACCTATTGCAGCCGCAACACCCTCGATCGATCGGTTCCCGAAGCTATCGTCAACAGAGTCTGGGGAAACCGGAGGAAGCTTCAAGTCCTCTCACAGCTCGGTCCCGAGACGGACGTACTCTTCCTCGGCATCCACATACTCAGCCGTCCATTGAAGGACCTCTGCCTTCTCATCCTCCACCTTTTTCCCTTCCTCCAGCTCGGCTATCAACTCGGCATTGGCCCGCGCTTGCACCAAGTACATATAGCGCGCGGATACCTTCCCGTATTGGTCCATCTTCGCCTCGATAGCCTTGACCTTCTCGGCAAACTCCCTCTTGGCTGCCCTCCATTCTCTGACGATCTCCTTCTCCCGGAGAGCCTTCTTTTTGGTAAATAACCGATGTAGGCGCGCAATCTCGGCCTCGAGCTTTCTCTGAGTTCGCAGGCTATCCTCCGAAGCTTTCAACCGCTCCACCTTCTCGGCCTTGGCCAACGCCTCGGCTTCCTGTTTAGCCACAATCGCCTCGGAAATCTTAGCCTCAACCTCGGCTCGGGACATCTCCGACCTCTCGCGAGCCAGCTCGGACTTCCGAGCTCCAGAATCATAGGCTCAAACCATGGAATTCATCGAGTGGAAGGCCTGAAATGGAACGAGAATCATCAGCAAACGAATATGGAAACGATAGTAAAACACGTCTGGAACAAATCAATACCTTCAGAAATCCAGCAGCGGTTTCGCGGTAGCTTCGAGCCTCCAGCAAGGCCTCGGGAGCGGACAGTGGTGGACCCGAGCAAGAAGCAACAAAATTCGCCGAAGCAACCTTGTCCTTGTACACTAGAGTTTTGCTACGACTTCTCTTCTCCCTTCTAGAAACTCCCGAGCCGTCACCTCGGGGTCTTTTTCCCGTTGTTTTGGATTTCGCCTCGGTGACCGGAGCAGCAGCAACCAAAGCCCCTACGACCTCGGGGACATCGGTCGTAGGGGAGATATGTTCGGCCACCTCAGGCACGATCAAAGCCACATCCCGAGCCTCATCAGTCGCCTCGGCGCCATCGACGACCTCGGGATTGCGGTTAGCCTCGGGAGAAGTGGGAGGTCTGAAGTTCGCCTCCAAAACCGCTCTCTCCTTAGCCGTCTTCTTTTCGGCAGCTTTCCTCGCTCTTAGAGACTGCACAGCACCTTGCATTTCGATGAGATGGTCTAAACGGTGATCGGAAGACTCTGAAGACGAACGACAAGGAGCCCCATGCAACAATCGCAAAGCTCTCTCAATTCTATCTCGGGAGAAATGCTTCGTCCAATCGCACTTCTGAGCTATCAGTTCGTCGTGCAGATCTAGGAAGCCCTCATGAACGTTCTCGAGAAATGACGGGTTCCGATCTGCATGAACAAGAGAATAGTCAGTAAAGGTTGAAATAGAACAAAGTAGCAAGTACGACTTAGGATGTAAATACCAATTTTTCTCCACTTCCCAACAACTTTCCCTAAGTAGTCCTCGTGGACACTATACTCGTCCAAAGCTACGTAGAAGAAGTGATGAGTATACTTCTCATCCTTGCTCGGGAACCCGCCTATAACCCTCCTATTCGGCCTCGGAGATATGTAAAACCTCTCTGCAGGGCCTGGTATGCGCCGAACCTCCAGGAGATTCCTCAAGTGACTAAGGTCAATGATATTGACCGTCTCAATACCTCGAACTAGAATCCCCACTAGATGCCGCAGGCCTCGGGTCGTAATCTGAGATAAAGCAATCTTGTACGACCACAGAAACGCCAAAATCGGCCTCGGGATTGGAAGCCAAAGGTAACAGTGATAGAAAAACCCTTCATAGAGGGTGAAGAATCCCTCGGGTGGATCGTCGGCTCGCTCGTTCGGAGTTAAGAGCCTCAATTCGACCCCCTCGCTAAAATCGAATCGGGCCTTAAGTTCCCGAAGGGAATCTTCCGTACATAAGGTCGAACCCGGAGGGTCGGGTTTCCTCACCTTTTTGGCTCGTTTCTTCCTCTGCCGGCCCTTTGCAGTTTCAACTTTCGCTTGAAGCAACCTTGCTGCCTCGTCAGAATCATATTGAACCTCCTCGGCTTTTACGGGAAGCAAAGGCAGCTCGGGCGCACCTTGCCAGCGAGAGCCCCCGGGTTCGTCAACCGCTGGCGGACGATTTTTCCTAACAAGTGCCTCCTCGTGTTCCTCCGGCAGGTCAAGCTCCCGAGCAATATCTGCCGCGGCATCCTCCCGAGCCACGAAACGGCTCGGATATTCTTGATTGTGAGAAGATTCAGCGTCACTGTCCCGATGCGTGATGTCCGCCTCGGGGTCACTCGAAGAACTCCAAACCATCTTTCTCTTGTAGACAGGGAGAGGATTGTCACCTCGGGACGAATCGCTGGAATCAGAGAGAGACATTGTCTGGCTCGGGCAACTGAAGTAGTTGATCGAAAAAACAAAACTTGGCAGATCGGAGAAATCAACCTAGATCTAATCACGGCGGCGCTACGACGGAAGTAAAAAGGAAAAAGTAGAAAATGGAAGAAATCAAGATCAGAGAGAGAGAAGAGAACGAACCTTAAAAATTTTCCTTTGCAGTTGCGAAATGAGAGAACGAGTCGGAGACTTAATATTTATAGGGATCTAGGGCGCGTCGGATACATACGAGCCAAATAAAATACATCGTGTCCGCATCAAAGGCGCGTCGGGCACGCGCGAGTCGAATAGGATACTTCACATCCGCACGAATCTCGGGAATCGGCAAAGGACCTTTCCACTTCTCGAGAATGAATCCCAACCGTCACACGCCAAAAGAAGATGAAACGACAAAGGAATTCGAATCGCCGAAAACTTTGCATCATTAAAAGGACCGAACTGTCCAAAGTAAACGGCTCGGCCCAATTGTCATAAAGCTCGTCACACTTGGTTCTCCAAACTAACGAGCTGGGGGGCTAACTGTTGGGGTCGGATTCCATCCTTTGGCGCCGAGCCAGACTTAGAGTACCTCGGGGAACTCTTCTTAGATCACCTCGGGGCATCGCATCATCCACCACAGGAAACACCCAAGGTCCACCTCGGGGTCTGACAGCAAGCTCTGGTACCCGAGCCGATCCTCCTCGGAGACTCGATCCATCTTTCTTCGGATGCCCGAGCTGTTTCCGTTCATGTACCCGAGCCGGTCCTCTTCGGGTACCCGAGCCGGTCCTCTTCGGGTACCCGAGCCATTTTTCCTCGGATACCCGAGCCCTGTTAACAAGGGTACCCGAACCCGCTCGTTTCAAAGTCTCCTCGGTTCAGGATCGCGTATCACGTCAATATCCTCCAAGCCACCCGAGGCAAGGACTGAAATACTCACCCTCGAAGTATCATTTCCAAGCAAAGCACCATTTCCGAGAAAGAAGGATCATTTCCGATAAACTCGGAAATGATAAGGGAGAATCTTGGAGGATCGACTCAAATCAGGAAAACTTCCAAAAACCCTGAAGAATAAGGAAATTATCCTAATCCGCGATATTCTAGCCGACTTCAAGATAAATGGAAATCTTCCGAGAATATCGCTGGAGAGGCGGTTTGTGATCGCTATATAAAGAGACTCAAGGCTCTCATAGAAGAGGGGTCTCAAGAATTGACACTACACAAAGCTCTTACAGCACAAACACCTTTTTCTTTTACGATCAAACTCTTGTACGATCAAAACTACTCTTTTCATCAATAAGATCAAGAACACCATCTTTCGTTACAATTGTTTCTGTTGTTCTTTGAGAATTCACGTTTATCGTATCCCTAAAATAAAACCCTAGACAAATCTTGATTGTGTTAGTTTCGACTTCCACAATGATTACAAAAACGGTTAGATCGGAGACACCATCGACACAAGCATCGCTTAGGGTTTTGACATAAATTTCTTTTAGCTCAAACAATTAGGGTTTCGTGGTGGCTTAGTTGGCTAGGATTTACTCAATGAGGTAGAACTCGTGCTGATAACGTGTTGTGAACAAAGAGGTTTTAGGGATTGTTCTCTTTGTTATTGATCAATTGTACAAGATACAACAATATATAGGGATATATAGGTATACAACATTACGATTTAGCTTAAAGATTAAGTCTTCTAGAACCTACTAATGAACCATATAATGGGCATCCATATATTACATATAATTATTCATAACAATTACGAATTATTTTAATACTTTACAACTATATATTAGATAAATTTATAGATTTTTTTTTTGAAAAGCCCGTAGGACTCGCAGGTTTACCCGCAAACACCCGCAATTTCTAAAACCAATCCACACCCGCCCTGCTTTTTTGCATTTTGAAACTTTTAGACAAGCACCGCCCGCAGCGGGGCGGTAGCGGTGGGGCCGATGGGCTTTTCTTCAAATTGACAGGCCTACTGGTAGGGGCGGTCGGGATGTTATAAGTGGTATCAGAGCCGAATCCAGACGTGTGTGGAGTCAAGAGGGCTCACACCGTTGGAGGTGACGGTCATGGTGCGCAACAAGGACGTTGCAATCTGTTAGTGGGGTGAATTGCAACATCCCGGTTTGAGGAATATAGTGGTGCATGCGGAGAGGTTTAAAAGAATTGATTTGGCCACCTATCACCAAAGTGCACTTATCTTTTCGGTCAACTGTCCTGAGAGAACTCCAAGGTTAAATGTGCTTGAGCTTGGAAAGTTTTAAGATGGGTGACCTTCTGGAAAGTGATTGTCGGAATTGTGTGAGAGAGGACAAAATACAGGAAAAGATCATGTGGTGATTTGTAGGGTCGGTAACAACTCTTTAAAACTTCCCGGACGTTGCGGACCGGCCGTTGGACAATGGTGGGGCCCACGGATCTGAGAGAGGACGTGGGTGCTCACTGGTAGGGAATGTTATAACCATCATCCCACCATTCTCTTCTATTTTACTATCATGGATCTCATTACTTAAATTAGTGCCATTACTTCCGTATGAAATAAACATAAACTTTGTCGAAAGTGTGATTCTCTTAATTCTAAACCTGAGAAAGTGTGATTCTCTTAATTCTAAGAACCGCCGATAACGCAACGATATCCTTTAAATCCATCTTCTTCCACACCTAGTAAATAAAGAGAATGAATCTCTCTAATGACCTCAACTTGAGCCGAATCCGATGATCTAGCTTAATCCTTTGCTAATAAATAATCTCACGTGGATCTCGATCTAAAGTTTCAAAAATCTTGTTATTTCGGATTTCTAAATAACCAACCAAATGATCCAAGAAAAACTTAAAAACTTAATATGGCCCTGTTCGGGAGAGAGTCGCAGCTACATCTGCTTGCGATCCATTTCTTCTTCATCTCATTGTAATTCCCGTCGTAGCGACTTCAATTTGAAGATTTCGGAGTCGCTGGAAAAAAACAGCAACACAATCCAAGCTTTAAATTGAAATCAGCGATAGTCGCTAGATTATAAAAGTTGAATTGCCTTTAATAAAGATTTGCATATCTGTACAGTTTTATCTTCTTCTCCAGCATAAAAGTAGATATTTTTGTTAGGAATTTACTAATTTATAGATATATCCCTAAAACTACTCATAATTACAAAACTCACCTGTAAAAAAAAAAAAAAAAAAAAAAAAAAAACAATATTAAGTCGCAGATTTTAATCGCACGACTGTTAAAAGAACAAGGCCTATATGAGCTTATTTTGGCTATCTCTAAAATAAAGAATCAATACGCACAAAAAATTGGACTCTGGTTCGAGACTAACTGAACCCATGTTTGTAATTTTTTTTTCTTCTGTTTCTCTAACCCTAGCCGCCGACCTAACCGGAAAATCAGCGAAATCAAGAAAATCAAAACACGATCTTTAAAAATCGAAACTTTGATTGGAGAGAGAGAGAGGGAGAGGTTATACGGGAACGCAAATGTCGTGGAGGAAGGAGTGATGATCGGCGGAGGAAGGGAGATGGTGGTGGTGGAAATTAGGGTTTTGAGGAGGGAAAGAAAAAGA